TCTTGATGAGTGGCGTGAGGGTCAAGTGAGCTACAATGTTCTATGCGATTGAATCATTCAGGAGATTTGCAGAGTTGCATTGCTATTCCTGAGCAGGGGAAGTTGTTGCTTTCTCGTGCTGCATGGGAAGACAAATCAAAGTTCACCCTCTTGCGTTCCTGGCAGTGACAACCATACCAACACTGAGGAGCTGGGATTTCAGAGCCTAATGGGCACATTGGGTGCAAGTCCCTTTGCACTTAGGATGTCAGGAAGCCTGAGACTCCAGCCCGTGCCGTCTGACAAGCTCATCACACATGCCTAGAAATGTGCAATCAGGCTGCCTCAAACATGTTTTTTCCTGAGGCAGCATGCACTTGGAGGTGCCTATCATCTGCTGAAAGGATTTAAAAAATATTTGCTTTTTCCGTGACAGTTGTAAAAACACGTCTCTGACAGCGTGGGCAAACTGCCCACATGATCCGTGCTTATTTGATATGTTTGTTTGGTTTCTGAATATTGTTGACAGAACCCCAAAATGAGATTTTCATGATGGAGCACGTAGCTCAGGTCTTCCTGGTTGCTAAGGTTGAGTTTAATGGTTTACAGAAAAGTAGGTGTGACTGTACCTCAACTAGGGTTTGTGTCTTTCTCTTCTGATTGGACTGGGGTTGCAGGTTTGGTGGCTAAAGACTACAGAAGAGAAGTGACCCTGTCACCCCTCACCTCCTAGGAGAGGGGCATCGTGTTATCGTATCTGGCTTATCACTGGTGACATTAATAATCGTGGTCACTTGGGAATGGTACTATTTTAACCCTTTCTCCATGCTTTCTGAAATTCACCCAGCACAGGAGTGAGAGGATCAGTCACCTAAATTGTCTGGAGTTCTATGGAACGTTTGTGTCTTCTGTGTCCCAGCTTCTGGGAATCCAGATTCCTTTTTCGCTTAACCACTGTTGCACATCAAATTCCAAGCACTGGGTGTACCCCAGGTGGCCAGGATGTCACCATGTCCATGCTCTCTCTGTGGACAGGACTCTGACACATTTATGCCTTGTCATGTACACACGTAGCTCTGTAGTTATTTCTGGATGCTCCTATGTCTGTGTTAAACTACATATGCATTTGTGAACAGAAAGAAAATTAGCTGTGTGGGCAACCACCCCAGGGGCCGCCACGCCAGCCTTACAAAGTGACTGCAGGTCGCTGGGGCTGGAGGCTGCAAAGGCAGCTGCTTCTTCCAGCCCTGTGCCGGTGTGGGGATTGGGGGGCTTCATGCAACTTACCTGAGCAAAGGTAAGGTGTTATCATCCACTATCTGTATGTGGCTTAGCTTAGCATCTGGAATCTCTGGCTGGGCGTGCCATTTCAAGGGCCTCTGTATGAATTCTTGCATGGGTTTATTTGTCTTCAAAGCAGAAGCCCATCAAGCCTTGTCCTATTGCATTCCCTTCCCACAGTCTGCAAGTCTGGAGGGTGGGCAGGATCCCCAGAGGGCACGGCACCTGAGTCCTGCCATCTGTGTCCTGATACAGACATTGCTCATGTCCACGGGTTTCTCTGCATGGTTTCCTTTTAAACAACCTTTTTTATCACCTGCTGTCTCATGGGGCTGTGCAGCCAGGTGTGCCTGGCACCATCACCTGGTGAGAACCTAGTGTGCCCACCTGGGGCATTGCCTTATGCCCCCAAATTGCATGTTTTAAATCCTGGGAGAACAGAAAATTTGCTCAATGGCACAGTTCTTCATTCTGCCATTCAGATGTGGCTCTTTGAGTTTCTAAATATGAGGGATATATGATTCTCTTCCGGAAGCCTGTAGACAACTGGGTACAAATTCAGCAGCTGGAAAGCAAGCATAGTGTTGAGTTGTAGAAACCCACAGGCTTTGGAGGTTGTTATGGTTTGAGAACTGGTGGTCAACTTAACGCCAGCTGGATTACATCAGCATGCATTGAGAGAAGATGCTCCACCTGAGAAGGGTTGTCAGGATAAATAGGTGGAGAAGAAGAGAGGTGTTGGGAGGGATTGAGGCGTGAAGGAGGCATTGTGGGTTCTCTTACGAGTTGCTGTGTGAGCTCTTGGTTCTGGAGAAGCTTTGGTCTTCACATGGAGCACTGCTTCCTGGCTCTGGAGGGGAAGACATGTGCTGCCTGGTCTCTAGGATGAACTCCTCATGCTGCTTCCTGGCACGTACCCAACTGTGCTTGTCATCAGAGGAGCTGTGGTGCCTTTCAGGACCCCGCTCTTTGTTGGGAGTGTGACTTCTCGGCTCCACTGTAGAACCGTCATCCCACTAGCACAGCTCCTTCATCCTGCTGGCATAGACTTTCCGGCTTCCACCGCTGACCCTTGGGTCTTCCCAGCACAGATCTGTAAAAGAGACTGGCGTGAGTCTTTCTTGTGGGCTCTGGACCTCCAGTTGGACTCGTGGAGGCGTTGTCCTGATCTGAATTTTTCTCTGTGTACAACCCCTGACTACAACAGAGGTAGACAGAGCTGGATTCCTATCTGTGACTGTGCCATTGAAGGAGTCACTTTCTCCACATTGATTTGTCTCAGCCTCTGGCCGTGCTTCTCTAACTCAGAGAGAAACAGTGGCACCCTCTGGGGTAGAGTTAGTGAAGTGAGAGGTCTCCTTCCGTCCATAGGTGAGCAAGGAACTTTAACCATTGTGGCTGCCAAGAAACCATCCTTGTGCAGCCTTCTGATGGAATTCATCAGCTTGTTTCTACTCCTTTGACTTGAACAGTGAATGCTTATTGATTCATACATAATATGTTTTATATATTCCCATGTACTAATGCTTTTACTATATCATATAAATCCATCATATATAATTTATGTACATGCCTATGTATATATGTGGAATAGCCTTAATATGCAATCCAAAATGCTAAACTGTTTTAGTGACTACATCATGCTATGAGTGAGAAATTCTGTGGATTTCAGATTATTTTTTGTTTCTGAGATTTTGGGAATACATGCAAGTGTATAATAAGGTATCTTGGGGGAAGGAACACAAATCTAAACATGAAACTCACTTGTATTTTCTGCACCTTTAGCACATGGCATACTTTGTGGCAGTAATTTTATCTAGTGGTTTTAGACTCTGAACTTTTGACTGTGAGCCATCACACATAGCATCTCAGCATTTGGAACAAGGGAGCTCACCCTATAGGTACACGCGTGTATCAAAGCCGTTTTTGATTCATTGAAGAATCACTGAAGTCCTGGAAAAAGTTCCTATACATTCTGGGTTTAAGTCCCAGAACCATAAGAGAATACACGGAGTGGGAGGAGGAGGAGGTGCATTTGTGAAAACTCTATGGCCTTGACTGAGGAGAGTGACCAGACTGTGCTTGGCATGTTCACGTTCCTCATGTGGCTCTGCTATTGACAGCTTGAGAGAACACTGCAAACCAGCTAAACCTCCCACTTATTGGAAGAGATGGCCCTGAAGCTAGAATAGGATGCTTGTCAGATCATTACCCTCAAAGTGATGTTGAAATGCTCTCATAGGAGGAGGACGTTTAGCTTTCTTTGGAGCTGGCATAGAAACTACGCACTATGGCATGATTTTGTGAATGAATTTTTCTCTGGTGTGTGTGTGTGTGTGTGTGTGTGTGAAAATCCACCATGGAAAGCTCTTGCTGATGAACAGAATTCAGTTTAGCGTTTAAGTGTAAAACACTGTCTTTTAGCCACGAATTCTTGCTTTAAGATCCCTGAAACTGTTAATGAAAATTTGACTTTCTAAATGTAGATGACATTCCTGTTCACTGTGAGTCATGCATCGTATCTCTACTAAGAATTAATGTTACTTTTTAGCTTGATCAATCATTTAACTCTGATTCGTGCCTCCTACCATTTTGTTTCCTGAATCTAGTTGTTTTCTTTTCCACTGATGATCTTCAGCCTGGCTGCCTTTTTTCCAACCTAACTTTTAAAATTGCTTAGATGGCTCTAGACTCTGGACTAAAAACAATGAATCAGTTTGCCCAACCATCCCCATGCATAATCTGTGGGACACTGACAACCTGTGACATTGTCTACTGACACTGATCTTTCTGGGTACCCCATTGTAGACCATCTTGGGACTTCTCCTTGCTTTATTTAATTATATTGTAATTGCTGTCTATGTGCAAAACTTGTTTCCTTAACCAGCCATCAAGAGATAGCTTGGGGATCAGGTAAACTTGGTGACAATGGCCTCATTTTGTGGCTTCTTAAAGGCACCTTGGATAATCATTCTGTGCACAGGACACTGGGAATTTTGTCCAAGGGCATAGGGCTGTTTCTTCTTGTCCTTTGGCTCTTCTAAATTAGGTGACTGAAAGCAACTTGAGTTTATTGCATTATGTTTCTGGGAGTACAAAAAGCAGGTCTTCCTGGTCTAAAAAGCCAACGTATTTCCACAGCTCTGCTCTCTCTGAAGACTCCACTGGAGAACCTGCTTTTTTCCAGCCTCTCAAAGTTTCTTGCTTTCATTTGATCAGCCTGTTCTACTCAGTGTTGAAAGCCAACAGAGTTCCATCTTCCATTCTCTGCCTACGGTGACAACTTTGGCTTCTCTGACCCTGTGTCTTCTCCTCCCTCTTTCCCTGATAAGAACACAGTGTTGCCATTGGACCCACTGTTGTAACCCAAGATCAGTTCCTGGGCTCAGAATATTTCATCTCATTCTCAAAGTTCCTTTTGCTGATAAGGTCCCCAGAATATGAATGTGGATATTTGACTCTCTTACTTAACACATCTGGTGACCAGTAGAAATAAAATGTGTACTGTCAACCTCAAAGTCATGGATATGAGTTGTTGTGGCTTTGAGATTTGAGGCTTCTTACTTGCAAAAGCATGGGTCACAGTCAGCACGGTGCTGACCGTGTCTATCATAGTGCTGACCATGTCATTTTTTTTTTTTTTAACTAAAACATGCACTGCGTTGCTTTGGATGAACGCATTCAATCCATGTAATTGGATTACTTGGAAGAGTTTGAACTCTCTCTTTTGGTAATTTTAGGAGGAAAAGCAAACAATTGGGAAGGAGGTATTCGGATCCCAGGCATCCTTCGATGGCCAAGTGTGATACAGGCTGGCCTAGAGATGGACGAGCCAACAAGCAACATGGACATATTCCCTACGGTAGTCAAACTTGCTGGAGCATCACTGCCCCAAGACAGGTACTCTGTGTCAAGGTGGTTGGTGTGGTCACTCTCTGTCTCACAAGCTGACATGGTCTCATTTGCCTTTGGCTAGACTTGATCTCTGTGTCTTGCTGCAGGTGTTGACTAACATAAACCAAAGCAAAGCATCCTTCTGTCTATCCCGTCATCCCTGAAGGAAACTCAAAGACACTGAATGTTTTAGGAAATGTATTTAATTTACACATAATATGTGTACCTGTTTATGGGGAAGGGTAAAGGCATTCCATACACATACACAACGTGCAGCGGTCAGACCAAGTTCCTGCAACCATTTATGAATAATTGCTGGGTGGGGGGACCCTTTGGGCTCTTCTGGTTATTCTGTACTGTGTCATAAATTGTGGTGGACCAGAGCTGTGTTAGCTTCTGCAAGCAATCTCTCTCCTGTTTCCTTACTCTCCTGTCTCTGCTAGCTAACGTGAGTTTTACTTCCCTCCATCCCTTTATAAATGAAAGCTTAGCGACATTCTGTTTTGGTACCTACCTTGCTTTGCTCAGCATAATGTCCTGTAGTTCCATCTGTGTGGCTGAAAATGGCTGCATTTCCTCCTTACTCTCCGTGAATGGTATTCCACTATGTACACAGACAAGTTTTGGTTGTAGTCGTTGTTGTTGGCTTTTAATCTGGTCATCTACTCAGAGTCACTTTGATTTCTCTTTCTGAGTACTGAGAACAATGAAATAAAAAGCACAGCCACGGATGTGTCTTCTGCACGCCAGCGTCATCGCCTTGGTGGGTGTGCCCAGGCCTGGGATAGCTGAATGGATGTATACTAGGTGTACTTGTAGTTTATTGAGGAATCCACACGTGGTCTTCTGTGGTGGCTTCTGGAGTTTATATTCCATCCAACAGCCTTGAACACCTCGAGGGGGCAGAGATGTGGATGGATAGTTTAATCCAGGCCTCCGTTTCTAGCCTTCTGGTGACCCCATCCATCTCTTCCCACCATCCGCTTGCTGATCAGCCATGGGCCGTTGCCCTGTTTGATGCCACCCAGCCTGCTCAGAAGCTCTGAGCTGCAGCCGCAAGAAAGACAATTGGCTCCCCAGTGAACGGCCCTGTGTCCCAGCAGGTCCTCATTAGCAGGTTCCAAAGGAAATGTCTTTCTCTTAAATTTAAGCACAACTTCCTATGACATTGCCAATGGTTTCCTTTTTAAATGTTGTTACCAATCTGAGGGACTGTTAAGTGAAGCACACTGATTAATTGTTTTCATTAGTTTGGTGGCAGGCCAGGCTAAAGTCATGCCGGCAGTTGCAAATCTTATTTAAATTTGCGTGACAGGGGAGGAAGAGAAAAAGAAGGAACCAAGGGGAGGAGGAGAAAAGATGGAACAGAAAAAACGTCTCTGCCAGGGGAGGCTGGAGATGGCTTTGAGTGTGTCCTGGTGTTTTCAAGTTTGTTTCTGTTTTGTGGTCTTTTTTTTTATTTTTGATATTAAAATCTGCTTAGGAACCTGCTCATTGCAACACACACAGGCATGTGCGCGTATGTGCGTGCACACACACACACACACACACACACACACACAGTAGTCAGCCATTGTCAAACGATGTGTTCTCAAGACTTACGTACATTTGAGATGAGGACCTCAAAACTCTTCGGTGGGGTCCTCTCCACTGCTGTTCATACCTAGCTAGCAGTTAAAACTGAAAATGATTTCAAAACCACAGCATCCCATTGGCCCTTTCGGTTGCCCTCTCTAGTGAGGATGATTTTTGTCTTCCCTTTTGAATGCACACAAAATGCATTTTGAAAACAGTGAGACCCATCTTTAAAAAACCAAGAATGCCTTCCTGGAATTATGAAAGTGCTGATGTCTTCCCAGAGATCGTGCAAAGATCTTAGGGATCCCCAGGGATAAAACACTTTGACAGTGGCTGGTGCTCTGGGTAAGGGTCGAGATCTCAGTTCCGTACTGCTTGGGTTCAAATCTTTCTCTGCACAAAAACCGGTGTGTGCTGAAGGCTTACTTAGCCTTGTGAAGTTGTTCAGTTAAAAAAAGCGCAGATCTTACAAGGATGAGAGAGGATTAGGGGCACTTGTGAGTCCAGCATGGCGAGATGCTCCTATAACCCAGCAGCTGGGGAAACTGAGGCAAAAAGATCTCAAGTTCACATGCAGCCTGAGAACAGCTTAGCAAGACTCTGTCTCAGAGTCTTCAAAGGAAGTTGTTAAAACAGAGTGTGTGGGTAATCTCTTGATTGCTTTTTTCTCTCATGACACGTTCTATTAAAATTATCACTGACCTCTCTTGCATAGTATTAGCGAATGGTTTTTCCCCCAAGGAGGAAAATTAAAAATACAGAAGATAGAGACAAGGTGAAAATCCATAAAGGGAAGTCCTGCTGTGGCCCCTCCCCTGACTCCATTCTACCCCTGACGGAGCCCACTTTATCTTGCCTTCATCCTTGTTGGAAAAGAAAGCCACCCCGTTCTTCACTGGACTCAGGTATCTGCGATGTGGGCTTGTGTTCCCATTAGAACACTCAGGGTTGGAGTCTTTCCTTTTTCCTTGGTTTCTTCCATAGATCTCGTTGAAGCTTATGGCGGTAAATTACCCCACAGTTATTATGTCGAGACTGGTCCAGCTGTCAGGTGTTTTCATTCTCCTGGAGACAGTGTTTATTAGAGAGCAGAAATCTGCTTCCAGAGGTCTTGTGGGAATAAAGTGTTTATACGGTATCTTGTGTAATACATTTTGGCACCCACACTGGGTCACATTCTTGTGTACTTGTCCCGGAGGCTTTGAATGTCCCAGGCAGTGTATATCACACAGCCTCACTGTTCTCCTTATGGGATATTCATCAATGCCTGGAAACATTTTTGATTAGTCCATCTCAGGATGCAACTGTCTCCCGGGAGCCAATGCCACAGATGCACTGAACATCCTACAGTGCACAAAACAACCCATACAACAGTGAATTGTCTTTAAAAATGTGTCTGAAGAGGTGAGGCAGAGAAATTCTGCTCTCAAACTCACTGTTCTATGAAAAAAGGTGGTTATAATACAAACTCCCATGAAATCTTTATAATAAAAGCTTCTAGACCATCTATCTCTTCATATCCTTACCCATCTATAAATTTGATAAATAGATATTTTCCCTTTGAGCACATCTTTCCTGCTAAGGTGAGTAGAAATCAGCTTTGTTGCAGTTTTTGTTTGTTTGTTTGTTGAGCATTGTTAACTTTGTGTATCTCAGGAGAAGAAATTCATTCAGGGAGAATGACCCGAGTTCTTAGCAAGATGGCTCCAATTCTTCTTGGGTGTTTTGTTGGAAGGAGAGAATTTCTGTTGAGTGGACAGCTATTCTTCTAGCAAAATGCTGTAATTCTCACAAAGTACTCTGAGCCCTCTGAGAGCCCTTGCCGAACAGTTAAAACTTGGAGATGAGAAAACCTGAGACCCAGAGTTTCTACTTTAGTAAGAATAGAGGCAATCCAGCATTTCTACCCGCATCAAAGGGGAGAGACGTGGTACAAAGGAAGGATTTTTGCTTTGAGGAGTCTGAAGGCTGGAAGAGAAAATAGCTCACTGGATGGACTCTGTGGTGTGGCTACCTGAGATCATCGCCAGTCGGGATTTCTTTCTTCAGATGCACTTTGTTGTTTCATGTTCACTGAGTACCCTGGCCTATTGAAAAGCTTCCTGTAGCCACCCTGACCAGGCATGTCCAGAAAACTTTGTCTAGCTCCCACCAGGGTTTCCAGTTAGGCTCCTTCTGGAAATAGTGCAGGGCAACTTTTTGAGTGTGCTAGTAAGTGCAAGCAATTGGATTTTGAAGAAGGAGGAGGAGGATGAGATGGAGGAGATGGAGGAGGAGGAGATGGAGGAGATGGAGGAGGAGGAGGAGATGGAGGAGGAGATGAAGGAGGAGGAGGAGGAAGAGATGGAGGAGGAGGAGATGGAGGAGGAGGAGGAGATGGAGGAGATGGAGGAGGAGAAGGAGATGGAGGAGGAGGAGGAGGAGATGAAGGAAGAGGAGGAGATGGAGGAGGAGATGGAGGAGATGGAGGAGGGTGGGATGGAGGAGATGGAGGAAAAGGAGATGGAGGAGGAGGAGATGGAGGAGGAGGAGATGGAGGAGGAGGAGATGGAGGAGGACATGGAGGAGATGGAGGAGGAGGAGATGGAGGAGGAGGAGATGGAGGAGGAGAAGATGGAGGAGGAGGAGATGGAGGAGGAGGAGATGGAGGAGGAGGAAGAGATGGAGGAGGAGGAGATGGAGCAGGAGGAGATGGAGGAGGAGGAGATGGAGGAGGAGGAGATGGAGGAGGAGGAGGAGGAAGAAGAAGAAACACCTGGATGTATTAACTTATTAAGATGAGAATCCTATCTTTGGGCTCATTTTTGCAACCAGACACGTTATTTTCATAGCAACACGACCCTTTCTAACTTTGGTAGTAAAGGATTACAACAAGGTATAATTGGTTAACTTTTTTGAAAACATTAAATTCTGCCTGTAAACTATTCCATGGGGATGGGGGCAAGCAAAATGCTGCCACTCTGGCGAATCAAAGAGGTGAAGTGTTTTGCATTCTTGGCTCATGAGTAAACGAAGGTGATTTGATCGTTTTTAAGATAGGAAGAGAAATGACTACCGCAATGTGTAATGTGGCTCCTGCCTCACAGAGACTGGAAAGTCATTTTTAAATCCTCCCAGCAGCTTTGGCTCACATAATGAGAGAGACTCTTTCACAGAGTGCTCTTCCAGTAAGAGAGCAGGGGTGGAGGAAGAGGAAAGAGGAGCATAAGGAGGAGGAGGAAGAGAAGAAAAGGAGAACGAGGAAAGGATTCTTGTTATTTAACATCTGTTCTGCAGAGTAAAACACAGCCATCTTCATGGGTAAAAAAAAATCCCACCTTGATCTGTGCGTCTACTTGTAAACGCTCTTGTTTTCTCCCCAAATATGGCAGAGGGCTTAGCGGTGACTACTATAAACATATTTTTCTGGATTATGATAATAACTTTCT